TGCATTGTATCTCTGCTGTTTCAGCTGGATTGATTTTTAAAGAGCTTTTGTGATGTTTCATAGAAGACTTACCCACCTCTAAGGATTTCTTTGGTGCCATTTTTAGATTTACTGTGTTGTGTAGTTGTCATGGAATCTTGCCTTAACTTCTGTGATCTGAAATTGCATATTGGCTTTGAAAATTTTATCTATTTTAAGATTTGTTCTGAAAAATCCTACTTTCTTTCTTCCTTTGTAATTATGTAAAAGATTTTTTTTTTGCATTTTACAGGAGAACAGTATGCATTAACTCTATTTCATTATCAATTCAGCAACTAGTTAATATAATAACACTTACTAAGGGGCCTACCTCACGGTTCAGTGGGTAAGTGGTATGCAAGCCTGCTAACTAAATTCACTCCCAGGAGCCCTTGTGAAGACAGAAAGAAAATACAAATTCCATCGTTGTTCTCTGACCTCCACATGTGCCCTGGGACACATGCCCTCCCCCCCATGTAGCATATATTCAACATAATAATTTAAATAAGTGACGTTTAATGAAACCCGGTTAAATCAGATTGTATTGTCTTATGCAGCTGAACCCCTTATGATGTGATGACATGTTAAAAACACCTCCCCTCCCTACCTGTCTGGTCAGCACCTGTGGTTCATTCTCCATCTTGGAATTCATGCTTTTGTGATTTTTTTCTGTTTTGTTATTTCCCAGACATAGCATTCAACTCAGTGAAACATTTTTCCTAGTCATACCGAGCGAGGCCTCGGCTACTCTCACAGCCTTTTATTCGTGTTTCGGATTTTCGGACTTTGTTCTGCACTGCTCCCAGTCTCTCTATTCCAGTTTTCTGAAGCCTGCTCGCAGTTTGTTCAGATGTCTTTTCATGTCTCACTGTTCCTTCTAGCTGCTGTTGTATAGTTTCTTCTGACCAGATGCCTATCAGAGCCCAGACTTCTGGTGTAGTCCGGTGTTTTCCTTCTTCATTTGCTACCGTTGGAAATAGAGTTGAATTATTAGGGGTTTCCATTATTGATGTACAGATACCTGCATCCACTGGAGAGAGAAGAACGTATATGGATTGCATACGTCAGACAAGATACATAAGCAGATAGTGTATTATTAAGTCACTTCTCCATAGGGATGGGCTGTTCTCTTAAGGTACAGAAATGAGCTAGCTAGCATCAGTAAGGGTTTGAAGTTAATTAAAACATGCATGGCTTCACTGTGGATTTACTTTTCGATGTAAATTTGTCTTGTTAGACCCCTAGAAAGCTGCTTTGGGCATGTTTGTTATTGTGTATAAGCTTAGCTCTGACATTTCTTACCTGAAATAAAGAGTAAAGCTTAGAACCTACAAAGCCAGTATTTTTAGGAAACTTGCATTTTATTGAAGAAATGATGTGACTCAGAAATGATTATTTTTCTGTATAGATGGATAAAGAGGGAGAAATCATTAATCCTAAGTCTCTATCAGGGAACAAAATGTCTATTTTTCTTACATCTACTTTCCAACCTGAAAGTAGATCGGTTTCAGTATATTTTGGCCTGTTCTATACCCAGTTCACTGCCTGATGCAAGAGGTCTACACTAAGAGTCCCCGAGATAGGGTCCCTGTGATCTTGTGGTGCTGGTGTTTGCTTGGGAGACAGATTTCTCCCGCTGAACTAAGGAGGAGAGAATTGGATTGGCGTAACTTATAATTCCTGTAGATTCGGACACATTTTATAACAGAGTGGTATCATTTAGATTAAATAGTCATGTGCAGAGGGCTGGTGAGATGAGTGGGTAGAGAGACTTGCCGCCGCCAAGCCTGAGACCTGTTTGATCATCTCGACCCATGAGGTAGGAGAGAACCAGTGTCTCAACACTAAAACGGTTTAAATCCCATTTAACGGGTAATTGAGACTAAGTTGCAGGTAAGGAATATTCCAGGTTTAGATTTAAAACTCTAAAATCTAAATTTAGATTTAAAACTCTGCTTTAGAGAACCAAGAGGGCCACGTGGTGATGGCACATGCCGTTAATCCCACTCAAGGCAGAGGCAGGCAGATCTTTGAGTTTAAGGCCAGCCTGGTCCACAGAGCGAGTTCTGGGACAGCCAAAGCTTACACAGAAATCCTGTCGCAAAAAAAAAAAAAAAAAATCAGAAAGAGTTGGGGAGAGAGAGAGAAAAGCAAGGGGAAGATGATGAGGCCCACAGACAGGTCCCTTAACTTTACTAGGATAGTAAAGATACTCAGTAAAGAAGGATAGAATTTTCTAGTTCTTACCTGGTTTTATGTTCCCAGAAAAGGGCCCAGTGTAAACTGTCAGTGAAACAAGAAAAGCTCTTGTGGTCATTTGTAGTGTGAATCATAAAGTTGAACAGAGGCCACCATCCCAGAGGTTTGAGGCTGGAAGCCTTACTGTTCACGGAAACAAATGAGCGGGCTCTTGGCCACTGTTGGAATATGGTCCAGACTGATTTCATTTAAAACACGAGGCTTACATGAGATGCCGTTGACGTGAGTCGTCAGTTATAGAAGTAAGTCTAAAGATGTTCCTACTGTGAGTAAGTAAGTGTCAAAGTGTCAGCTGTGGGGTTAGGGTCAGAGTTCAATTCCTAGTCCTGCAAAAGAAAAAAGAAAGATAGAGGGAGGGAGAAAAGGAAGGAATTGTCCTATACACCATTATAAACAAGTGTGTCCAACCTGCAAGAGGTTAACTGAGAAAGGACTAGCGGTGTGAGGAAGGATGTAGCTCAGGGGTAGCTGAACTGAATAAGGTGGAGGCGGGGGAGGAAGGGAGAGACAGAGAGAGATACATTGGAGTTGGTAGGTTTTAGAAGTTAGTTTTTCCCTAAAACAAGCAAGTAGCAAAAGGGAAAAGAGGAGATTTCACAGCCGCACTCGACACTCGTATCTGAGTGGTGGCACCCGGTACCATCCCTTCCTGGTTCACCAAATTCTCTTGCTGGATCCATCCCTAGCTGTGGAGCCTGGCTCTGTGTGCAGATGCTTGACCACGATAAGAGACAATGACGTAGTCCACAGAGACGTGGGAAGTGAGCTACTTACAGTTTTGACCAAAGCTGGAGAGAAGTCTGTCTGTTGACCTTGCCTGTAGCCTGCAGTGACCCGACTGATCGAAAAGATGAAATAAACATACGTGGATCTTTATCCTAGAAAGTGGATATATTCTGGTATCCAAGGTTCTGGCAGCCAGCCTGTTTTCATTCCTAGCATTCAATTTCCTGGAGGAACCTTAATTCCTGGGGGCTCCATTCCAGAATTTAGTCTTTTTGTTTATACATTTGGGAAGATGAGAATATTAGAAATTTCTGTCTTGTTGGGGGCTATATGAAACACATAACTGGACAGCATTTTTGATACATTCTAAAATTAAGTCCTAAAGTATCTTTCAAACTTATTTATATTTCAAAGCCACATCAACCATAGTTGGTACAGCAATTAGTGCCATTTTAATGTGCTTTTACTTTATTTGAGATGTAAGAAGTGATGGTATTGAACCTCCTTTTGAAATCCACCCATACCTTGTGCAAAAAGGTATGTTGGATTTTTTTTTAATCTTGATATTTCAGGCTGTATTTATCACATATACTCAGAAATTGTAAATGAAGTGAAAACAAGAATGGCATTTTTCTTTTTACCTTCGGTAATCTCTCGGGCGGTACTTGAGTCCAGGGTTGCCAGGCACCTGCTGTTGCCATCCTCCTCCTCCTCCTCCTCTGTTAATTATGTGGTGGGTTCATCCTGCAGGATTGCATCCAAATCATAGAAGAACTTCATAGTTCTAGAGCTGTCTCCTGAGTTGTGGGCATGCTTAACTGTGCTGCATTCATACTTGAGATTTTTGCACGACACTGTTTCCAATCTCTGCATACACCTAGTGATTGCAACTTTGTAGCAATGTAAATAAATATTCCTTTATTTCTCAGTGTTCCACAAAGTTGTTTTCCTATATTTCTTTCTGCCCAGACACTTAGTAAAGCTTTAACCTCCTCCTCCTCAGTCCAGTGCTGTCCAGCTCCACCCTCCCTGTCGAAAGTGACCTGGAAATGATTCGCTATTTGTAGCTAACATTTTGTTTCCTAGGAAACCAGAAGGGTGGTTGTAGTAAGCTCCCGAGAGCTTGACAGGATGTAGTTTAACTGGTTCAAGCTGCCTAAAGGAGTAATTTAAGAAGGTGCCAAAGAAGCAGGCTTGCTGGTTAAATACCCTGCATCTAAATGATTGCTAATCTTACTTGTTTGGGCTTTAGGGAAAAAAATTACCCTTGGAGTAAAGGGAATGAAAACTATTTTGATGTATTTTTTCCTTATATAATTTTTGGCTTCACTAAAAGTGTTGATTTTTTTTTTTTTAATGACTTGGAAATGGTTGGCAGTGTCTTTGGGATTCCTTTGTTAAGGTTTATAGCATCACATTTTGTGTTGAAGTGATAACTTATTGGTAAGGGTATTTGTTATTGCAGGGGAGGACTCAAGATCTGTTCCCAGCACCCATGGCAGCTCACAAATGTCTGTAACTCCAGTTCCAGGGGGTCCGACACCCTCCTCTGGCCTCTCTGTAGAGGCATCCATGTTGTGCACATACATTCATGCAGGCAACACATCCATGTGCAGAAAATAAAAATATAACTTAAAGACCATTGTTTCACGTTGGGGTGATGGTGCACACCTTTAATCCAGTATTAACTCTCTGAGTTTGAGGCCATCCTGGCATACACAGCAAGCTCCGGAGCAGCCTAGACTATGTAGAGAGATCCTGTTGCCAAACAAATGGGGGCAGGGGTGTTGGATGGAGAAAGATTCAAAGTGTGAAAAGCAAAAGACATAAATATGAATGGGCGTGCTGATGAGCACCTGCAATCCCATCACATGAGCACCTGCACTTCCAGCTGGTGAGCACCTGCAATCCCCGAGGTGTGCTCATATGTGCTGATGTGCACCTATAATCCCAGGAAGCTCGCTGATTTAACAGATGATCCATTTCTTTGCTCACAGGGGTCAGGAGAGTGCTGGTATTGTAACCAGTGATGGGAGTTCAGTGCCTACATTCAGGGTGCATAAGGTAAGTTTGAGCATTCAAAACTGATGATGTTAGAGATAACTGTGGCCAGCTGGTCATTAGTATCTGGGCAGGGGGTAGTCACGTGGTGCGCATCTTTAATGCCAGGACTTGGGATGCGGAAGCAGGTGAATCTCTGAGTTTGAGTTTAGTTTGTTCTATATAGCGAGTTTCAGGCCAGACTGGACTACATAGTAAGACCCTGTTTTCTAAATAAATAAAGTGTGGGGATGTGAATAAAAGTGCAGCTAGAAGCAATTAGATAAGTCTACTAAGAAGACTTATGGATCAGCCATCTAGAAGACTCTTGGGTCAGTCTATCTACTTCCAACTTTGTGTCCTCACACTTGTCAAATTAGGATGGATTTCTTTCCCAGTGATCTTTTGCTAGACCAGCTCATTCACGCCAGGGGGTCATCTATTTAAATATTTTTAAGAAGCCTTGTTTTTTTTTTTTTTTAAATGCCAATTCCAGTTAATATTGGACAGATTTCATTGTCTAGTAGTAAAATCTTATTGCTGACTATCTGTCCTTAACATTTCCTAATTAAGAGTTTCATAAGATAGAAGTGCCGATGCTGTGGCAGTCCTAAACACTGAACTGCTCACTTGGAAATGAATTTAATGTGAACGTCCAGAGTCCAGTTTAAAAAGTGAATTCATTCGATTCCTGGCGCACAGAGAAGAACGGGAATCAGCTGTCTAGTTGGGATTGCCCGAGCGTAGTCTTGTCACTAGCAATTCCGGTTTCCGTTTTCTCCTGACATCCACTTTTGCTTTGACTTCTCAAGGGAATGGGTCTTGTAAATCATGTCTTTACTGAAGACAATTTGAAGAAATTATACGTCTCGAATCTTGGAATCGGTCACACGCGCTACGCCACGACGGGAAAGTGCGAGCTGGAAAACTGCCAGCCGTTTGTTGTGGAAACCCTTCACGGGAAAATAGCCGTGGCACATAACGGGGAACTGGTAAATGCAGCTCGCTTAAGGAAAAAGGTAAGTTGTTGTTCACGGCGCTGCGGGTGTTAGGATGGTTAATGAAAAGACATTGGAGAGCTCGGAAAGGGCGTCTTCTAACTATTGCCGCCTGTTACCTCGGTTCCAGAAGCCATTGCATCAGAATTGCCCGGCATGCTTGCTCTAATTCCAGATTCTGGTACTCCCCAGGTGACTGGAAGCAGTACCACTTCAGTGCTGTGATTTGGGATGTTGTTTATGTTGTCAGCAGCATGAGGAATTACTGTAAACATCCCCTTATAATGTTGTCCTATGTTCAAAGTTGGTGAGAAAGAAAAACCAAGCCATTGATCCCTGTGTCCAAACTCAGCACTGCATAATGCTAATGCATAATGTT